ACTGGCTTCGTTTTTTCCAAAATAAAAGACTTCAAATTATCTATCCAAAACATGGATCTATTATATAACTTTGTTCTTCCGTTTTCGCCGGCATCTGTACTTACCGTTTAAAGAAAATTACACAAGCTAAACTTTTCTGAGAACATAAGAATTAACTGTCATGATCTCAACGTTCCAAAAAGAGCACTGGATTCAGTAACGCTTCAAAAGGGCCGCGCCATCGCTGAAGCGGTTAGTCGCTGGCTTCCCATCGCGGCGGCCCGGGTTCGATCCCGGGTCTGGTCAAGTGGGATTTGTGGTGGACAAAATGGTGCTGGGGCAGGTTTTCTCCGAGTTCTTCGGTTTCCCCTGCCAATCTTCATTCCACCAATTGCTCCACAATCACCCTCACCTATCATCTGGGGCTGGTACAATAGGCCAGAAGTGGCCGCAGTACAAGGGACTTACACCCCACTAGAAATAAATAAAACGCCTTAAATTCTATGGCTATCAGCCATGTGTTCAGCTGTTATGCTTGTGATGAAGCACAATGCAGTTCCGTGTATTGCTACATACAATAACAAAAAGAAAATCGAACTACAGCGTTTACAATAGGAGCATTTATTGCTGTACTTGAAGACAATACTTGCCAACACAATACAATGACTAATTTGAGTTCAAAGCTTTAAAAAATTAACATGCAGCATATGTATATAAAACTCTTTTACCCACCTTTTTCTCACTGCCCGTCTGGATTTCTAGTAAAACTAAGATCACAGAATGGTACATGCTTGCGGTCCTGTTTGTAGCCGTACAGTGAAGCCATGTTACAAGTTCTATTCCCACTTCTTTTATCGCTAGTGGGGTGGGGCTAAGTCCCTTGTACTGCGGCCACTTCTGGCCTATTGTACCAGCCCCAGATGATAGGTGAGGGTGATTGTGGAGCAATTGGTGGAATGAAGATTGGCAGGGGAAACCGAAGTACTCGGAGAAAACCTTCCCCAGCGCCACTCTGTCCACCACAAATCCCACTTGACCAGACCCGGGATCGAACCCGGGCCGTCGCGGTGGGAAGCCAGCGACTAACCACTTGAGCTATGGCGCGGCCTTCTATTCCAACTTACTCAATCCCTCTTGCTGCTGTCCCTAAACACAAAGCTCCAAAAGAAACTCCGTGACCTGTAGTCTACAAGCGAACTATTCCGACCGAGAGACCGCCGCTTGTCGGCGAAGTTACTGCCAACTTTAGCGGATAGAGGATGTCGCGAGGTCAGCGCAACCGATCCCCACGGCCGTTAATTTCGGTTTTCTCGACCGGAGTCGCTATTTCCTTGAAATAGAGCCTCAGTTATCCTCACGAGGCTGAGTGGACCCCGTTCCAGAAGCACTACATCTCAGAAAATCTGGTGGCGCCGGGAATCGAACCCGGAACCTCTTGATCTGTAGCCAGAAACTCAGAGGCAGTCAAACAGAAAGCTACGAAGATCTATACAAATATAGGCAAAGCTCAGCTCAGTTTGGATTTGGCCTCTGGATAAACATGAGAGTTTAGTTTTGCTCTTATGGGAAGAACTTCCGATTTCTGAACGGTCCCAAAAGCTGGCCTGAGCTTTGAAACGAAGAAGAAGGCGCGTTTCATTTATTGTCCTGACATTTGTGTCTAGGTTCTTCTAGATATTCTCAGCGTTGTTCCTTCCGGAAATTCTGCAACTTCCCACGAAACCACATAGTGTCATACACCAGAAGACCGAAATCTTAATATTCTCCAACACGGGAACCTGAAATGTCGTCTATTCAATCGAGCTCGCGTTCTCGTACCGTACGTGTAAAAGATATATTTTAATATTATATTTACATCTATGTAAACCTAAATTATCTCATACAGTGGGATTTTCCGACCTCTTATATACCTCGTGCGTACACATATTTTTTTTTCACACTGCTAATATCAGCGAAGAGTAATTTCTGAAATTTCTCGTATCTTTCAATCACTTCGTCTATCTTACGTTCAGATACGCGAATCAGTAATCTTCTCTCTATCTCAAGTCTTCGGATCTCTGAAACACATCAAGGCAGTGGAGAATGTGTAAAATACAGATTTCGTTTACTCCAAGTAACGTTGAAGTTGACTGTCAGTCCGTCTGTCCCGGTGTTGAGCCCCACTTGGAGCAGGTTTTGTTTAAAATTCTGTATGTAAACAACCACACGATCCAAGATCTACAAACGAACACAGTGCTCAGTGAAATAAAAGAGTGGAGTACCAAATACTTAAGAAAATTAGAAAACCGCACTAATGCAGTATGAGTGAAACTATTAGACAATAGCGAAACCACACATAGACTGAAAAAATACACCGTCCTAATTATTCCAGACAGAACTGAGTAAAACCCCAATACAAGAATTAAAATGATAACCTAAGTGAACAAAAAAGAATATACGAGTTACGCTAGTGGGCTTAACTCATTCAGGATCCATTTATTGCAGTCTGCAGATTATGTATAATGTGTGGAAAAAATATCAGATAAGAGCTGTAGCGAAGGACATTAGCTGACAGTTCTTGTGGTGGTTTTGTCTGTATAAGGCTGATGAGCCACGGACGCGACTAGTCCGGAGCGGCTAGCCGCTCTTTATCGCGCCCTTAGGCTGAAAACCCACTGACGCGACAAGCCGCGCCCGGTTTGTCGAGTGTTGTCGCTCGCGGCCGTTATTTGTATTGCTTTTATGAGCCGCGCGCGGTTAAGGTTTGAAACGCGGCACACAGGCGGCAGAGCTGTCGCACGCGGCTATGAAAGTAACGAACTTCAATAGTTGAAAACTCACTGAGGCGGCAGGTCGCACGCGGAAGCCGGAGGGATATGTGACTTCCTTATTCGTTATGGCGATGTCCGAGAAATCTTTTGACACAGAGTTGTTCATTATGGAAATTGAACAACGACCAGCACTGTGGAACAGCGGCATTAAGGAATATAGCGATAAAAATATAGGAAAGACTTTGTGGGAAGAAATAGTGCANGCGTCAGCACAGGGTTGTGTGGGCTTGTGGTCGGGTGTATCTTACGCGATGTGTATTGTGTATTGACAATTGGTGATTAATAGTGTAACGGACCAAAATGAAGCAATTCAAAATAGTTACAAACTATTTATATAGGTATTTTCAGGTGTATATGTACACGGATTTCTAAATGTAAATTAGTTAAATGCATTTGTTTTGCCATGGGACCTTGCCTTCCCCAACGAAATACTGGGCAAACATATCTCGGCAAGATACTGGACGTCTTGTGTTCCTTGTGTGATCTTGTGTGATGTTGGAAAATAATGCAAAGTGTCTTCATATCTGATTCCATCTCTGCTGCGAACAAANTGCACTATTTCTTCCCACAAAGTCTTTCCTATATTTTTATCGCTATATTCCTTAATGCCGCTGTTCCACAGTGCTGGTCGTTGTTCAATTTCCATAATGAACAACTCTGTGTCAAAAGATTTCTCGGACAACGCCATAACGAATAAGGAAGTCACATATCCCTCCGGCTTCCGCGTGCGACCTGCCGCCTCAGTGAGTTTTCAACTATTGAAGTTCGTTACTTTCATGGCCGCGTGCGACAGCCCTGCCGCCTGCGTGCCGCGTTCCAAAACTTAACCGCGCTGCGTCAGTGAGTTTCGCACCATAAAAGCAATACAAATAACGGTCGCGAGCGACAACGCGCGGTTTGTCGCGTCAGTGTGTTATCAGCCTGATACTGTTCTGTAGTCTGGCCGGTGGATGCCCTTCTCAGGGCCTACAGTTGCTTTCGGCCCATCAGGGCTCTCTCCTCGCCTTCCCCACCTCGACCCTGACTAGCCATTAGTATCCATAGTTTCTTTCACACTGCCCCTGTATACAGTGACATTTCCAAATTTGGCTGTTTTCAGCCCTGAAAATGCAAGCGATATGCCCCTCGGAAAAGCTGATACCTACGAGATTATAAAATGTTATCATAAGCCGGAGTACCACAGTAAGAAACTTCACATTCGTGAACATGTCAAACCTTCATTAAGCGTAAGTAATTGAAAATAAAATTACCACAAAAATATTTGGGTCAGAAGAATTGAGGTAAATGCGCGTGGCACATACGAGACATCGGGAAACTGCATGGAATATGAACGTCTCCTCAGGACAGAGGGTGCATTTCGTCGGCTTCTTCAACCGAATCTTGCAGTCTTGATATTAAACCCGTCTTGTGCCTTGTAGCAAGACATTTGCGTTTTTCTCTCTGACGAAGAATATGGATAAATGAATAGAGAAGTGAGCAGTATATCGAAGTCAACTCCTTATTTTCTCATGACGAGACTACATACAGTTACACAACGATGGAGAAACGGCTCTCTTCCCCTTGCTAACTGTAGTTTCGGCTATGGTGTGCTGTACTATGGTAATTAATGTAAGCATCTCCCAACACAGCTGCATTTCTGGAGCGTCGGCACCCCTGCTTTTGCAATCTGGTCTTTGGGTTTAGTGGGCCGCGCCATAGCTCAAGCGGTTAGTCGCTGGCTTCCCACCGCGGCGGCCCGGGTTCGAGCCCGAGTCTGATCAAGTGGGATTTGTGGTTGACAAAGTGGGGCTGGGGCAGGTTTTCTCTGAGTACTTCACTTTCCCCTGCCAAGCTTCATTCCACCAAATTCTCCATCATAATCACTCGGGGCAGGCACAATAGGCCAATCAATGGCCGACGTGCCGAGTGGACCCAGCTGGACTCCCCCCCACCCCAATTATGCGAACTGTGCGAATTGGGTTTAGTGGCCTCTGGACTAGGAGCTGCTGTGTCCTCTCTGAAGCATCCAGTTTAATTCCAGTTATGCAACCAGTGGGAGCGAGGCGTCTGTAATATTGCTTTCCGCATTGTTACATACACGAGAGTCAACATTTAGAGTTAGGTTAAAAATGATTTGAAAAGGATTCTTTAAACACAATTTTCGAAAGTCGTCTGCATATTTTGTTGTAAAATGCTGCACAGGCACGTAAGAATTCTCGATTCCCCTTACAGAGACCCAGCAAAGAGACTGCCATTCGGAATGCTATCACAGCACAACTGTGCAGGTGCAGCAGCTGCAACCTGCTTAGTATTTATGTTCCTGGTCACCATCATACAAAACACCTCAGCACAGCATCTCACAGTAGTGCCAAATGTTGGCATGAGCCTCAGGCCTTCAAACATATCAGCATCCATAGAAATACTAGGTGAGTACCTCATCGAATAAGGTATTTCATTATAGAAGAATACGTGTACTCCTGGACTGTACATCTTATCAAAATGGATTCTTTACCCTCACTGCGCTTTGAACTATAAATATTAAAGATAAAACCTACTGCTTCAACGACTACACATTTCACAATGCATATCAAGAAATCGTTTAATGTACTGGTTATCTCGTTAAATATTCAGCTATGCCAAAATATACATGTATACATGGTCTGACAATTAAGTTTGCAAACTAATCGCGGCAAACAGTGCTACATACCTCATTGCTGAATATCACTGTGATCGCCTTCAGAGGAATCCCTTGGGAATCTATGTACTGATGCCAGAGCCTAGACCACCCTTTGAAACAATTTTGGGACTGGTTTTGTGGAATGGCCTTCAGAGCTGCCGTCGTATTACTCCTGGTGCCATCAAAATTCCTTCCTTTCAATATTTCCTCTATCTTTTGGAACAGAAAGAAGTCGGGGGCTAGATTCGGTGAATTGTGATGGTGTTTCGGCACAGTTATTTGTTTACTAGCTAAAAACTCCCTCACAGACAGACTCGCGACGGAACATAAAAACACATAAAACAAAAACAAACTCCGTGGTTTCAGTCCACAAACGAACTATACCGATCGAGCGAGCGCCGCTAGTCGGCGAAGTTAGTGCCAACTTTAGCGGTAAGAGGGTGTCGTGTGGTCAGCGCAACGAATCCCCACGGCCGTTAATTTCGTTTCACACTCAGATAATAATAGACGCTACTCAGAGCGAGGCTGCCATAGATCAACAACAACACAGCTGTGAAACGCTGATATGCCAACGTCATCAAACCATACTAACGTTTCTGTCCAATGCTGCCATGGCAAGCAAATGTAGCGAGTTCGCGAACTTTATTGTCAGACCTCGTCCGTCTAGGACTCATTTTGCAAGAGGTTCTATATTTCATCTTATGGAACCATTTATTTAACTGTAGTTGTTCCTACACAGCCACACAACTGATCAATGATTCGCTAAGGCACATCACAAGAAGTGTCTGCCACAGACGTTCGGGGAAAATGTACCATATTGAGCTCCATATTCTACCTTGCACATTACACGGACGGTTTTTGAAATACGTCACAGTGATCGATTTTAGGGGCTATAACCAGCCGAAACGTAACCCAAATTCCGTTGTAAACCGGGATTTACATCCTTGTTACATTCTCCTCCCTCGAAATATAAGATCACTCACTCACTCACTCACTCACTCATGGAACTGAGCCTTTCTTGAGAAGCTGCCAATTGTGAAGCTACTCAAGAACTTCCCAGTATTTTATGGAACCCGAAGGTTCATTGCCGTGTTCACAAGAGCCCCCCAATATATAATATTGTCCAAAAAGGAAGCCTCTATACTACAGAGTGCACCATATTTGTTTTATGAGTCTGCTCTGTAATTTGACTTCTTATAAACCTTCTTGCTGAATTTCCTACAAGCCTCGCCACTCCACGGTAGTTCTAATGAAGGATCGCTAAATGTTTATAGTGTCCTATTTCAAATTTGCTCTTTAGTGGTGTATTTTATGTTACTATCTTTTATCGATATGTTTTCTTCGATGCACAATAACACACTTTCCCAAGAGCTCTTTAAATTTCCGTTTATCTCTGTAACCAAATGATGCCAGATAGTAAGAGCACCGAGGTGACGGTCATTTCACGGGACTGTTATTAAAATATGTGGTCAACAATAATGCTTTCCTCAATACAAAGAGGTTAATTAAAAATCTTACTCTTTTAAACAATCGGTTAGTAATTAGACAATTTATAAAATCGTTTCAGAAACGATTTCCGCTAGCAATGATTGTGATTTCTTCGCATCTCTTCATACATAATCTCAAAGTTTCGCGTCGTAGTCTTATGTATAAATGTTAACACAGAAACTTTCATACAGAATGTGTTTTCATTGTATTCATTTTGTGTAGTGTGTCCTTTATTGTTTATGTAGTTTTGTGTGCTGTGTTTTGTTTGAGTGTGATGTGTTATTTTGTGTGACGCGTGTTATTTGTGTGTTGTGTCTTATTGCAGTATCACTGTCACGGGATAAAAACCATTTGCAGCTTAAATAAAATATTAATAATAGGCAGACCCATATTTTTGCCCTGTCCCCATATCGGATTTCTTAGCTTCAATGGTTTATCAGTTATCGATATCAGATCAAAGGCTAAGTACGGTACTTACACGGCCACAGTTTCAATTTTATGACGTTTCCAGTATCTGGTAAGCCTATACATAGAACCAGTTGGTATAACGATTGATAAGTGATAAACTGTAAAGCATTTCGAAGCAAGCGGTCGTGGCATACTCCAGGTACCATCCGGCCATTTGCCTGGAGGGAATAAACGAAACCACGAAAAGCCTCAGGGGGGATAGCTGTTGTCCCGGGTGAGATTCGAACAGAATACCTCCAAAATAAGTGTCTACATCTTTACCGCTAGGTTTTAGTAATGTTAAAGTAGATTGTGCTTATAGTTACTGTTGTCTTAAGGGGATAAATAAACACCAAATCTGACTTCAACAATAAAATGACGGATTTTAATAGACAGAACTAATCCAGAAACGAATAGCGCAAATCACTAAAAGTTACTTGATACCTATGAGGGCGCCTCTGGCCCATACCATGTTAGGGGGGAAGGGAGTGGATAATGACATTAAAATATCACTGAAAAGGGAATAAATATTAGTTCATCTGCTTGGTTTATAAATGATTTTCAGTGACTTCTGTTTGTTACGTTACAGCTTCGCGACGTCGTAGGCGTTACGTTCGGTTTCCGGCCCTGTCTGGAAGCGAATCACTGAGTGGGGCGGGTCGACTGGTGTACCCTCATAGCCCCCGACCGCCCCCCAACCTGCACTCCGGCCACAGTTCATGGATTCCTGTTAGGCATAAGCAACAACATTACCAGGTACTTTGGCACAGAATGTCTACAAGAAGGTGTGGGACATTTTGAGTGGATGGTTCTGAAACCTCATTCTGAAGCCCTTAAACAAGTAGCAGAACCTAGAGTTTCTGGGTAACTTTGGCCTATGAAAGTTGTCTCTTTGCTTCAAGACATAGATTATGCCATCTTCGGATCTACTTATTAATAAATTTACAACAAAAACTGTATAGAACTTAGAGGTTTTCATGTTATATTAATTTATAAAAAGTTAACAGAATGTGAAGTACATGTGTATAGTAGTTTCCATGGAAGTTCAGTGGTTCAGATGTCTAGTTTCAGGTTAATATCTTGAATGAATGAATGAATGTATAAGGGGTGGGCCTTCTTGGCCCTTGCAGCGCGACCACAGTAGGTTAATATCTTAGTGGGAGTTCTCAATACAAAATCTCATCATAATGACTGACAGAAAATACCAGTGGTACTAGTCACAAGTAGACATACATACCATCACATGCATACAAGTACTTATGTGCTTGGACATAATCATGGATATGCTTGTTGTCTGCAGGTGACTGCACCTGCTGTGGGAGGTCACTATACAAGAGTTCCTCAGATGGGGCAGAGGAGCCCTAGACTGGTGTTTCGGGACCCAGACATACCTGGTACTATCCATGCCTCCTCTCCATACTACAGCCAGCAGGCAGCAAACAGTCTTCAGGAACTTGTCACTGACGACTCCAGAGGTGAGGCACAATATGTATTTCTTACTTACTTACTAATGGAGCTGAGCCCTTCTGGAGGAGCTGCCAAGTCTGCAGATACTCAAGAATTTCCCAGCATTTTATGTAACCCAAAGGTTCATTACTGTGTTAACAAGAGCCCTCCATTGGTCCCTATCCTGAGTCAGATCAATCCAATCCACCATCCCATCCCATTCTGTTTCTCTAAGATCCATTTTAATATTATCCACCTACCTACGCCTTGGTCTTCCCATTCATTCATTCATTTATTTCATTTCTGTTAATCCAGGCTGGTACAACCGTTGGATATAGAGGAAGTCAAAGAACATGCAGTCATAAAAAGATTTTGTCAAAATTAAATATAAGATTAACAAGCAAATATAAATATTACAAGGTAACAATTTAAAAAATTATAAATATAGATAATATTTTGAATTAATAAACAGATAAAACAATTCAAATTATCTAACTTTGTACATAAAAAGTTATCCACTATATAAAATGAAATGAAATTTTAATACCATATTAGCACATCTATTACCGCACTCAAGTCATGGAAAGTTCAATCATTTTATAAAAGTGTGCTAATTAATAGAGGTACAACCACAAAACTACTTGAGCATAAAATACTACCAGTTTGTAATTAGCAGTCATAGAACAAGAAAAAGATAATAAATGACCATAAAATATAACAACGATTTTATGCTGTCTAGGTGGTTAACTAGTTTTATGCTTAAGAAACTCATCAACAGTGTAAAAGAATGCTCATATAAATATTTTTTAATGCTCTCTTAAAACTTTTAATGTCACATGCCAGTACTTTAATATTATCTGGAAGATGATTATAAATCTTGACACCTGCATAAGCAGGACTTTTATGAAACATTGTTAGATGAGTCGTTTGTTGGAAAAAATTGGAATTATTCCTAGTATTGAAACTATGAATCTCAGAATTTTGTCTGAACCAAGTTTTATTTGCAATCACAAACAGAGCCAAGGAGAATATGTACTGTGAGGCCAGAGGTAATATATTTAATATTTTAAAGAATTTTCTGCAGGAATCCCTAGGTCTTGCCTTCATTAGTATTCTAACCATTCGCTTTTGAAGTTTAAAAATAATTGAGCTATGTGAAGAGGTTCCCCAAAAAATCAATCCGTATGACATAACTGAATGAAAATACGCATGATAAATCATCTTAAGGGAGTTCAATGATACAAAAGGTCTAATTACTCTTGCACCATAACAAGCTTTAGTGAGTTTAACAGCCAAATTTTCAATATGAGACTTCCAAGACATATTATTATGTAATACCAACCCCAAAAACTTTAATTCAGTAGTATAGGGAATAATTTTATTGTTGTATGTGACTTGAGTTTCAAAGTTGTTTGCATGTTTAAGGCTGAATTTCATACAATAAGTTTTATCCACATTTAACGAGAGTAAATTTGCCTTAAACCACTTCGCCACACTATTAAAGACTGATTTCAGGTTACTGTCCAATACTGTATTGTTTGGATTACTGACGATTACACTAGTATCGTCGGCAAATAAAATTGTTTGGGGATTTGCATTGGCGTTCATATATTTAATAAATATGGGTAGGTCATTAATATATAGTAAAAACAGTAAAGGTCCCAGAATGGACCCCTGAGGAACGCCCTGTTTGACCAGACCCCAGTCAGATTCACTTTTATCATTAGGTCCATTTCTAACTTTCACCTTCTGATACCGATATTGGAGATATGATTTTATTAACATATATACATTATCAGTTATACCATAATACTCGAGTTTATATAGAAGCACTTCATGGTTTACACAATCGAAAGCTTTCTCCAAATCAAAAAAAATTCCGCCTACTTTATTTTTATTATTGATGGCTGTTAATATTTTATTTAATAGAGTATATGAAGCAGTCTCGGTGGAAAGGTTACGACGAAATCCAAATTGTTCACTAGCCAAGATATCATTAGCACAGACATGGGGGTTAATCTTCTAAAGATAATTTTTTCAAACACCTTGGAAAATGATGTCAACAAGGAGATTGGTCTATAATTAGAACAATCTTCTCTATTTCCCTTCTTATATAGAGGGCATACTGCTGGGTCTGCAGTATAACACATGCAGTCACAGGAGCAAGACACAACACAAAGCACAATACACACACGAAAGTAGGAAGAATACTCCGATAGAAGAAGATAGGTGTGACTCGCGTATTGAGATACGACATAAGGATGACAAATCCAGAACAGTTTTAATATTTAAAATTTATCATTATATATGACGAATATATATTTTAGTTATTTTAGTATAAGGACAACAGGGCATACAGTGAAGTAGTTCGACGTACATAGAAAAGCACCTGAAGATGGCACTTTAGTGCTGAAACATGTAGTGCAAGAGAGAAGAGTAAGGTGAATAAATGTATGCACTGTAAGACGGTCAGAATAAATCATGGACATAAATCAGTGCAACAGGATGCTAAAATATAACACCACACTGTGACTTTTACAGAAATGTCAGTCTCTAATATTGTCAAATATTGGGCTTTTACTAAGAATATCCCTGTTGGAAGAATGCATGCTCTCTGTGTATGTATGTGTTCTCACTGATAGTTTAACAACCATGCTGAATCCAAAAAATGTTAGGGGCTCTGCTACACCCACAATCAGTACAGTGTAATTATCGGATGTCCGATTTTATATTTTCTAATTCCTTTGTGTGTTATATAACACTCTAAGATATTCAGTAGTTATAAATACACCACTTCTTCTTTACTATACATCACATACCACTAGAATTTCCAGATTAACAATTAACAACTGTTACATTCTAAAAAGAAAATTCAGCTTTCAGATCTACCAAAAATTAATGACAGTCACAATTTTCTTCAGCTCATTGTCACTGAACATGAGTCCACGTTGATGCTTCCCATTGTCCCTATCAAAAGTTTTATGGTAGGGTAAATCAAAGCCATGGAATTTGTGGGATACTTGATATGTGTAATATCTTCATAATTCAATCTATTTTCACAGCAAATTATATTGATCTTTCCTTATTTTTAAATTTTGATACTTAATCTACACAATTTCTTTCTAAAATTTTAATTATACCAAATACATATAAAGTATAAAGTAAGGAGTTATACATGAATTCTGTAAAGGAAGACTGTAGGTAAAATTCAATTAAGGCTTAACAATGACATTAGATACAGGTAAGCAGTCAGCTACACAGACCACCTGACTTTACCTTTGTTACAAAAGTCCCAAGTGTTCAACCCAATAAAAGCTTTAATTTTCTGTAATGAGAAAGGTACAAATGTACAGTGAATATTTGTCGATATTAGAGGAATTATAGCACTAGGATTAATATTTCTTTGAAGACTTCTCTGGCCATCAGCAATGTGAAACCAAAGTTAACAACATCGTTTCAGAGACTATCTCTCTCTCCATCATTAGGGGTTGGTGACACCTGATGGAGTTACAGACGACATCTAGAATGTTCAATGTAAATCTACTTTGATATAGCTGATCACCCATAAAAAATTAATTTCATTCAAAAGCTGTGGAAACTTCATGTCTTAATATAGCTCTTGTGTCAGGGTAAATAGTGTCACAGATATGCATTCTCTGTGAGAACTCTAATTCCTTCCACACGGGCACTGGAGAAGAATTTTAGAGCAGGAAATGCCAGCTTATTCCCAGCTACCTCATACACCTAATTCATAACAAGTGACTCAAAAGCATATAACATGTTGATTTTCTATATGCCATATTAATTTACAAAATCTTATGCATCCTTATGTTAACAAATGTTCACTTCCTTCTCTATCATACAGCTTTCACAAATGCAGAACTAAGTTGTTTATTTACTTTCCTAATCCACACCTCTCATCCAGCTTCTTCAAGATCTGCTTTATATTGTCCTCCTAGTGGTCTCTCTCCTCATTTTCGTATCAAAACTTTGCAANGCGTCCATGTATTTATCGTCCATCAATATTGCAACACTTGTTTATTCACCACTCAATCTTAATTTTAGTTTAACATATTACACTTTGACACAGCATGTTTCAGCCCCCAAATGGCCATCTTCAGGTGTCTTGATATGTTTCAAATATTTTATTAAATTATGTTAAAAGTGCTAGCAGTAGCAGTAGCAGTAGCAGTTCTAACATAATTTAATAAAATATTTGAAACATATCAAGACACCTGAAGATGGCCATTTGGGGGCTGAAACATGTTGTGTCAAAGTGTAATATGTTAAACTAAAATTAAGATTGAGTGGTGAATAAACAAGTGTTGCAATATTGATGGACGATAAATACATGGACGCAGAGTTGAACAATTGCAACAGGATGCCGAAATACAGAATTTGTAATCACTACTTTCTTTTGAATGAGAGACATGCCTTGCCTCTTTCATTCTCCCTCATTTGACTGTTCTAATAATAATAAAATCATGGATAATGAGATGGGTAGGGCATGTAGTACTCATGGAAACCATGAGCATAAAATTATGTCAGCTTGCTTATCCCCTAGTAACATTATTAGAAGGCTGCGCCATAACTCAAGCGGTTAGTCGCTGGCTTCCCACCGCGGCGGTCCGGGTTCGATCCCGGGTCTGGTCAAGTGGGATTTGTGGTGGACAAAGTGGCGCTGGGGCAGGTTTTCTCTGAGTACTTCGGTTTCCCCTGCCAATCTTCATTCCACCAATTGCTCCGCAATCACCCTCACATATCAACTGGGGCTGGTACAATAGGCCAAAAGTGGCCACAGTACAAGGGACTTAGTCCCACCCCACTAGCAATAAAAAAACATTATTAGAAGTTAGAATTAAATACGATTTTCTAGCAAATGCTGCAGATTTCCATTCTGAACACTGTTTATAACACTATGATATTTCCAGAAGGCAGAGTACCTGGTCAAGAAGGGTACCCATTACTAGGCGACCAATCACTTTGTGCTACGGGAACATGTGAGTTCTTCCTCTTCTGCTGGATGTCTGCGGGCCTGCTGGAAGGGTCTTGTGGGGGCCTCATGTATGCCTGCTGCCAGCGACGGGCGGCCAAGGACACGGCCAAGAAGGGCGAGCATGACGAGAACAGCCTACTTGTGGACTACGGTCCCGTGACCAATGACCCCAGTAAGTAGGTCTCGGGTTCGACTCCCGATGCACTTGACAAGTAGCTTGACTGGGAAGACATCTGAATGAACTGTTTGGTACTGTATGTATGAATTATGAACAGACTTTGAAGACACTGTAGTAATGTTCTAGCACTCACTTGACATGTAGATTGACTGAGAGGACGAACGAAATGGACTTCTGTACATAAGTAATACTGCTGAGCTGGAGAAGACTATGTGAAATTCTGACTAATAACCATAGATATTATGTCTGTGGCCTTCAAAGAGAATACAAAGTTATGGAATCACTGCTTATCATTGTACAAACTGTAATAATATGGATTTTGGTATCTCAAATTTCAGGTTTAAAGCAGCAGTATGCTTTTAGAGAGGAAAAAACAGATGAACATCATTTTAGAAACATTTTCCACACCATTTAAATTTATTGTATCTTAGCATGACCAGACTAATCAAATCAGAGGCTTGTTGCCATCTGTGTTTAATTACGTGAGACATCACAGAATATGCCATGATAGTGTAGAGATCAGTGTGCTAACCTAGTACTCAAATGGCCCTGCAATTGATTCCAACCATCAGGACTACTATCAAAATAAGAAATAATAATAATCTGTCAGTATTATAACAAGCAACGACCTGAAGACGGGATTAGAGCCAGCTCCCAAAATGACATATATATCAAATATACTTCAGACAACAATGTCCAACATATTCATATCAACCAATGTCACAAACCTTCAGAGAATCATTACATTTCACTTAACTACACTGTCTTATTCCCTGTGTCTTCTTCAACAGTAGTTCTGATCTTATTAGACTCATGTGACCATGTCCTCATTCTTTACATAGGAAAGAATTCTAATCTGGCTGAAACTGCTTAGTATTTCATATGTTGCTTTACAAAGTATTTTTGAAGTTTTATTTCAAAAATATTGGTGCGATTCATATTTTTTTATATACGTATATACTGGTAGTGAAGCAGGTGATTTAGAGGCACTTACAACTCTATGGTTATCCAGACTGCAGCCACAACTGAGAATTGTAAGATGATTACAAATGATGAATTATTGGGAAGGGGTGGTGAACAAAGCAGTCATAGTTTGCTTTAAGGTAACTCACTTGGCATCCTGGCACTTGCATGGGGAATGCACTGTAAACATTTCAGTTATGATAGCCAGTCAATTCAAGAAGTTTCTAAGAAGTTAGCAACATATTTTTGCTCTGCTAATCTGTTTGGTATGATCTTCAAGTTCTTAAATACGTATTGAAATAACAAAACTTCACGCAGTTGATACAGTTTTGTTATTCTTGAATTCTTATTTGCAAATAATGCTATTTAGCATTGCTAACTATCTTAGTATACCTGATACATGGTGTGGTTGCATCTGATATCCTGAACAATGAGGATTAAAAAATACCCATTCAGCCATTTGTTTAAATCACTTCATTCTATATCCCGTTCAGCATGTAAAATATAATTGCCTGCACAATATCCAATGAAATGTACAAATATGTTTACCGTCTGTTTATATTTATCTCCTTGTTCATTCATTCATTCATGTACAACAAAGAACCTAGAAACTGTGTGTTGCAGATTTATTTATCATGAGATATACAAGAAATGAACATATAATTCTGATCAAAAACTTCATGTCAAGACATCATTTGGCAAGTTAGAAGGAATGATGTTAACAACAAAATTTATGTTGGAGAGACAGAGTGTGAAGGTGTTGACTACATTCAATTGGCTCTAAAATATCGGACCTTTATGAACACAGTGATACACATTCAGGTTCGAAAGACACAGGTACTTTGGACCACCTCAGTAACTATTAGTTTTCAAGTGTTTCATGTAATCGGTTAGTATAAACTGTGAAATTATACAAACTTAATGAAACAGACCACAGAGTATATTCACATAACCAAACGGATTATTGCAATTTAAAAGGAATAAAACAAGAGTATGAGATATCAGATAGCATTCCTGTAGATCAAGGGTCTCCAAAGTACGGCCTGTGGGCCACATCTGGCCCGCGATGTGATTTTATCCGGCCCGCGAAAGAATTCTGCAGAAATGCGCCAATTGAACTAATTTTCCAATGAGTACTGGTAAATGTGATTCAGAGCTTACTGACCTGACATATTATACCGCAGTTCGATGGCTTAGCTGTGGAAAGGTTATTTCGCACTTCTTTCAGCTCAGGAATGAAATTGATATATTTCTTACCGAGAAAAACCATCACGAACCACTTTTATCAGATACCAAGTGGCTTTGGAAATTAGCAGTTTTGCTGATCTGGTGAACCATATGAACCATTTGAATTTAAAGTTGCAGGGTGAAAATAACTTAGTCTGTGATCTATTTGCACTTATCAAGGCATTCAGAGCAAAGTTGATACTTCTGGAAAGCCAAGTGAAAAATTGTAACTTTGTTCATATGCTATACTGTGCAGAGTTGCATAAAAAGGGTGAAGCAGAATTTCCTT